TTTGCTTGTAAGTAAGAAATCTAGATTTCTGACCAAGCTCTGTTATCGAAACAGATGACTGGAAGCTAGTTTCTTAATGTGTCTAGACCTTGGTTATCCTCATCTGTCAATTAGGGAAACCTACCCACCCTGAGGGGATTACTTGAGGATCTTTTGATCTCAATGATATGAAAGTGCTTGAAAATAAAGAGCCCAGTTTCAAGCTGCGTGACATTTTTGGTCATAGTCTTCTGAGTTTCCTCTTGAAAATAATCAAAATGTACAGGAAAAGAGCAGAAAGAAACACCTGTCTGTCGTGTTTACTCACTGAATTTCTGTGATGTTTGGGAGGAAGAAAAAGGGAATAATAATTAGAGATTTGTGACTTTCCATTTTGCTTGTTAAAGATTTTAGCAATCCATGGGAATAGAGGTGTGCTCATTTTAGCAGGTGTAGCCAAGAGTTTGGACAGGTGGGTAAGAAAGCTATTCTAGACAGTACCCAGCAGCAGATGAAATTTTGGAGTAGAGCTTTCAGAAAAATCTTTTACTGGTTCCCCCCCTCCCTTCCTTCTTTCTTTCTCATGTGACCACCTCTCTTTGGTTTCAGACTGTAAAAGGTGGGATTTCAGAGACCCGGATTGAGAAGAGAATTGTGATCACAGGAGATGCCGATATTGACCATGATCAGGTGAGACTGCTGAGGAGATTCTGGGCATGGAAGAGGTCCCTGGGTGGGAAGATGGATGGATACAGGAGTTGGCTTTCAGAAGACACCTCTGCCATCTTCATCCCCAGGGACACCCTGGGCTACTCTAGCGCCTAAATGAGAAGGATGAAGGGAATCAGACCACGGAGGCCTGTGGGATGGGGCCTGCAGGTGGGGGGAGCATGAAGTGTAATAGAAAGAACATGGGCCTTGGACTCAAAAGGCTTGGGTTCACATCCTAGGTCTCCCCATATTCTAGCTCTTAACTTCCTAGGCCTCTGTTTCCCCATCTTTAAGATGGGCGTTACGGCAACTTCCCCTCGGTGGTTGTGAGCGTCGTGGGATACGGGATGTACGGTGTGAGGTACATGGTAGGCTCTGGGTGGGTGGAGCTGTTCTGTTCAGGGGATAGTGTGTACCTCAACCTGTGCTGGAGACAGAAGAAGATAGCAAGACAGAAGGAAGGGGGCGATCCTTGTCCGCAGAGGGCTGTGGTGGCCCTCGGGGCGAGGGAAGCAGAGTGAGGTGGGCTGCCTGCGAACAGGAGCCTTGACTTCAAGTCTGTCCTACATCTGTCGCTAGCTTACTGTGTGACCTGGGGCAAGCCACGCTACCTCGGATTCTTTTTTGTCTCCTAAGAGAGAGTAGGTTGATCTAGATAATTTCTGGGCCCTTCTGAGCACTCAAACTCTCTGTTTCTATATTAATTAAGGTGCTAATTGTGTGCTGCAAGCAATTAGCAAATAATAAGGTCAGGATTAATGCTCCCAGTTCTCTGCTGGGTGAGGTTAGAACAGTAAAGCTGCAGAGAAGAGGGGGTGGAGGGACTGCATGCAAATGCTTCTGGAATCACCGACAGCAGTGCTGGAGCAATAATTCTGTGGCCTTTATGCTGATACGTTGAGTGCCTAAAAAAAAAAAAAGGAAGCCTGAGCCGCACTGATGGCAGTTCCCTTGGTAGCAGGGTTGAGACTCCCAGCTGAGAACTCAGGCTCAGGGTCCCAGCAACAAGGCTGCAAAGCCCAAGTGCAGCCTGTTAGCCCCCAGCTAAGTAGATCCTGCTACGCTACCAGCCTGCACCCACCTCCTTGGTCTGGTTGATTTGAGCCCCAGCTGTGTGCCCAGTCGGTGCTGGACAGCAAGAGCCATGGGACCGGAAGGTGTTTGGGTTTGGAGCGAGACAGCCTTGGGTTGACTTTTGATGCTGCAACTTACTGGTTATGTGCCCTGGAGCAAGTTATTTTACTTCTCTGAGCTGTAGTTTTGCCACTTGTAAAATTAAGATAATCATAGGTTTCTTTCAGGGTGGTTGTGACAAACACACTTGATAGCTCAGAGAGATGCGCCCATGTCCCTCAGTTCTCCTGGGTATGAGGGCTACATGGAAGGGCTAAGAGGTGGCATACTGTGGTTGGGTGGAGAGGCACTTAAGCAAGAAGTCGTGTGGTGCAGGCTTTCAATGAGAGATCGGTGTAGGCCAGAGTAATCAAAGAGAGGGCTTGGGCTGGGCCTTGACCCATGAGCAGGTGGGGTGGGCAAAAAGGATCAGGGACAATGACCAGGGGCCTATAGAGGTGGCACTTCTAAGAATGGCTTTCATGGAGTCAAGAGACCAAAAGAGGAATTTCCCTACTAGAAGTAGTTCTTTAGAGCCAAGGTCAACAGTCAGGTGGTCAGATCTAGCTAGAATCCCCATGTCACCATTCCCAAAGGCTCTTCCACCTTGGTGCTGTGAGCTTGAGGCTCAGAGACTTGCCGCGCAATGAGAGAAGTGGCATCATCGCTCTCACTTTCCCTCGGCATCATTTAGCTTTTCTAAAATGATCGAAACTCCTCCAGATGCTAATAAAGGGGCTCCCCGAAACTAAAGGACAGTGTAGTGAAAAAGAAAGCCTTATAGATTTAAGTTAAAATCCCTGCTGCATTACTTACTAGCTGTGAAACATTAACCACTTTATTTACCCACTGAACCTCAGTTTCCTTGTCTATAAAATGGAAACAATAAGGGGTGCCTGGCTGGCTCAGTTGGTGGAGCCCCCGTTTCTTCATCTCGGGGTCGTGAGTTTGAGCCCCACATTGCACGCAGAGCTTACTTTAAAAAAAAAAATGGAAACAGTGCTACTACCCTAATTCATTAGTTGTTCTGAAGAGGTGGCTCAGTTGGTTAAGCGTCTGCCTTCAGCTCAGGTCATGATCCCAGGGTCTTGGGATGGAGTCCCGCATCGGGCTCCCTGCTCACTGGAGAGCCTGCTTCTCCCTCTCCCTTGGCTGCTCCCCCTGCTTGTGCTCTCTGTCAGATAAGTAAGTAAAATCTTTAAAAATAAAATGAAAAAATGAAGCTTAAGTATACAATAATAATAATGTGCTTAGGCCAGTGCATGGCATGTAATAGGCCGTCCCACTCTTCCTCCTTACTTCCCTCTCCCTTAGCCAAAGAGATCTCTTCCTTTTTGTAGCATGCTTCTTTAGTTCCCTCTTCTGTTCTGAACTTCCCGGTGACCCTACGTTGAACACAGATTTTGTTTTGTCCTTCAGGCTCACTTCTTGAGTGAATCCTCCCAGGCCCACCCAGCAGATACAGCTATCACCCCTGAAGTCCCTTTATGATTCCTTAAAGACAACTCTAGCCTTCCCGGTCTCTGTGTTTTCAGTCCAAGAGCTTCCCTCTGCAGGATAGGGGAAGGAAGTCTGTTATCAACTCGCTTAGCCTAAATGCTGCCCTGGTACTGTGGACAGAAAGACTGAATTTGCCAGAGAAATGATAACCTGAGACCCCTGCCTTCCTTCACCAGTCAGGCTGCTGTCTGCCTCACGGGCATGGTTTCTTTCTTTCTCAGGTCCTTGTACAGGCCATCAAGGAGGCAAAGGAGCAGCACCCAGACATGTCAGTGACCAAGGTGGTCGTCCATCAGGAGACTGAAATCTCTGAGGAATGAGCTCAGGTAAGGGCTATTCTTGGTGGGGGGAGAGTGTTCACTGTCCCAGCCTCAGAGAGCCCTGAACAGGAACAGCCCCTGAGGTGTCCACACTGGGACTTACCTAAGTAAAGGCTCTTTGCTGTCACAGGTATCTCTTGAGTCCAAACCTGAGAGGGCCAGAGGAGAACAAAACCAAGAAAAGCAGAACCTAGTGGTCTAGAAATGAGGGCTCGGGGCATAGAGGAGAGAGGGCTGAAGCTCGGAGGCCAGACTCGAGAATTGGAAGCGGGCAGCTGCTTCTGGGGAGCCAGGAATCCAGATAAATTTACGCCTAAAAGTTTATAAGTGACTCAGAGAAGCCATCAATCACCAGAGGGGACTGGGCTCCTCAGTAAAACTGCTCAGGGCCTGTTTGGCACCTGGGACCACAAGAACTTGGCACTGGGACTGGTGGCTGTCTCCCTTTGCAGGATTTAAAAAGTTTGCTTTCTTTCCTCTTAGGAACTATCCTACCCCAACTCCCGGCCTGTCTCCCATCCAAGAGAAAACCAGCAAAATGATAAAGAAGCTTACCTGCAATAGTCAAGACATCAGGCTTTTAAAATTACTCTAAACCACCAGAAAATTAATTTCGTTTTCTATTTGGAGTTTATACCGAGAGAGTCTTCTAGACATTGCTGATTCTTTTAATACCTTTTTCTATATTGTGATACCAGAAATTGTTCAACTTTTCACTCTATGGACTGTTTTTAAAGAGCTTTTTGTTTTTTTATGCGGTGGTTTGTAACCCCTTCAACCTAGCCTCTCCCCATTTATTTCCAACCCAGATACTGACAGGTCTACAGAATTCTTGAGGAAATCCTCCAGAGACTCTGTCAGCTGTGTTGGGGGCCAAAGCCAGCTTAATGGGGCTTCCCTGCTCCTCCCCTAGTTTTATACCCTTTCGATGTCAGCAGAAACTTCATGAACCAGCCTTTTCTCAGAGCCAATGATCTGACTTTACCAAGTGAGGCAGGGCACCTGTCCTGATCCACAGACCCCAGGGAGACATCCCTGTCCTTCTGTTGAGGGTGGTTTTGGTGAGGCAGAGATCTCTGCTAAGAATGTAGTGTTGTTTTTCCTTCTTTCCTCCTGTTCTTTCTTTTTGGAGCTTCGTTAGATCAAAGACATAAGAAGTTGTTTCAGATATATCTGATACTGTGAATGTTTGAACAAATCTGTGGCCTTCACCTTCCTGCCCTCCCTCCCCTTTTACCTCATCAGAAGCAGTGGCTCTGCTAAGTTCTCCCCCCACCTCCCATCTCAGGAGACCGAAACTCACACAAAAATAGGCACTTTTGGCCAAAAGCTCTAATGGCACATTTTTAGTAGTGATTTGGGCAAGGAAAGTTGATGAAGTTTAAAAAAAAAAAAAAAAAAGGTTTTCTAGTTCTGGGAATGTGCACTTCACACAGGGAATGGCAGAGTTTACCTCAGTCAGATCCCACTAAGAAGTGTTTCCAGGTGACTGACCCTGGGCCTTTTTCTTTAATCGTGGGATGACCGGAAATGTGACTCAGAGAGGAGGTTGTGTTCCTTGACCCTTCTTCTCCTGACCAGTACCTGCCTGCAGACATCCTTCTGGAGCAATGGAATTGACTTTTAGGCGCCATCCTTCCCACAAAACCCCACACGACAGGGAGCACAAACACCAGCTCTGCTCATTCCCACTCACACCATCTGAGGTCTGTCGGGTGTTGTAGGCTTGATTTTTGTGGTGGGTTGTGGGTTTATTTTACTTCTAATTTTTTTTTTTTTTTTTTTTTTTTGCTTGGTTTTGAAAATGGGACTGACTGATGAGCCCAATTCCACCATTCCTGGTAGATCTGGGGGCATTTCTATTCAATAGTGCTTCTCTCATCTTCCAGCTGGCTTCCCACAAACACATCTGCCTGGAAGTTCTTAGAATCGTATGGTGGGACAGAGGTGGACTTCATGAGAATAGACGGTGGGTCACAGCAGTCTCGGGGGGCTCAAGAGCCGTGAGCGAAAGAGAAAAGTCTAAAACCTCTGCTCCCCACAATGGGAGCCAGCCGCATGTGTCCAAAGCCTCGACTGGCTGAGTCTTGTTTTAGACAAACTCAGTTGGTTTGAACTGATTTCAGATGTGTGCATTTTTCGTTTAGTACTTCTGTGAGCCTGCTACTAACCACGAGGCAGCTCTCTCTGGAGAGGGACAGGAAGAGCTCAGGTGGGACGCGTGACAGGCCTGGGGGAAAGGATCATCCTGTCTCAGGAGCAGGCTTCCGGCCTGTGGGCATAGGGTCGGAAATGGTGGGGCTTGCTTGTTGGTGCCTAAGCCTGAGCCGTGCTGCCAGGAGTGGTGGTGAGGTTGGGAATCCAGCTCACATCAAACAGCATGTAATGGGAGCTCGCTTTCCAGTGGCCAGTTGTCCTGCTGAGAGACCTACCAGCCAGCCCCCACAGTGGACAGCTGTGGAATGAAGAGGGTGGGGGTGAGGAAGCGGGCACAGCGTGAGCGTCACAAACCGGGCCCACTGAGTTCTCACTGTCCACACCGCTGACGGGGGCCTGCACGCCCCCTCGGCTCTGTCACCAGCTCACCGTGCTTCTCTCTGCTTCCTTCACTCTAAGTTGGGCCAGAAGATCTCAAATGCCCTTTCAGCACTGAGAAGCCACAGATTTGGACAAGCTGGGAAGAGGGTGTCCTTCCAAGACTCTTCCCCTGTCCTCCCGCTCTGGGAACAGATCTGGGGGTTTGACAACTGTTTGGATTTTTTTTTCTTCCTGCAGTTGTGTGTGCATTTGTGTGTGTGTGTGTGTGAAGAAAAACAGATTCTGTGCAGGTGGAAATGGTGAAGAGGGGAGGAGAGAGCTTCATTTCCAGGGTCAGAGACTTGGCAGCCGTTTTCCTGAAGTGACTCAGACACACCACAGTGACAACTCTCACTGCAATTTTATTTTTATTTCACTTGAGAAGTAAAGACTTCCTCCAAGCTACACGAGGTCTCTGCCACCCACCCACCCGCCCGCCCACCAAGCAGGACCTGAAAAGCCAAGGGCCCACAGAACCTGGGTGCAGGGACCTCTTGGGGCCTCCTCACCCGCCTGCCCAGGCCCCCCCATCGCATATTCTGCAAGGCAGCTGAGCGGGAGGGGCCCCGACCGCCCTGGGAAGTAGAACCAGAGCTATGGCCTGACTGACACCAAGGAATGCTCGTGGGAAAGATCTGCCCAGGATCTCAGCCCCAGGCTGGTGGTTTTTGCAAATCTCTCTGAAATGTATTATTTTGGTGACAAAAATGAAGGAGCTTTGTAAATTTTTTTAAAATTATGAATCATGTCAAGTAGTTGTTTACATTTCTTGACAAAATAGGAACTATGGCAGCAGAATCAAATTGGCAAGATCCTTAGATTAAAAAGGCAATAATTAGGTCTGCTGTTTTGGCCTTTTGTAGTAAGAGAAATGGTGTAGTGTTTAGATAATGTGTTTGGTCTTGCTTCTTGTATTGCATTTTTCAATAAACTAAACAAACAAACAAAAAAACCCCCAAAAACCAGGACTGAATCTGAGAATTGATCAACTTTTAAAGTTCTCTTCTCCTACCAGCAATCTGGGAAAAGTTCCACATGGGTAAGGGAGACTCAAATTTTTGACCCTAGAAAAGACTCTTTTCTAAATTAAGCTACCCACATTGGCCAAAATGCAGCTTCAACGCTGTATAAAAGGAGAACTGGCAGATGCTTTTTGCCAGTTGGGGGGAGATTTTGCAGCACAGGCCATGACAAAGGAGAGAAGGGGGCTTCTCAGACCTGTTCAGGAAGGGGCCGGACCCTCGGAGGAAGGCTTCTTTGGTAGTAGTGCAGCCCTAGGGGGTGTACCCTCCATGTCTGAGGGCAGAGAGGGGCTGAGGCGGTGGGAGTTAACGCCCCAGTCCCCATCCCAATGGCAGTGGAGGGTCTTAACTCTACCCCGTTGCCCATCTCCCCTAACCCCACAACTGGTGCTACCGTGGAGGGAGCCTGGCCCAGCCTGTAACATCCCAACCTACCTTCCAAGTCTTAGGGGTCCTTGCCCACCACTTTGGATCTGCCGAGACACCTGCTGCATCTCCCAATCACCCTGACCTGGACCTCCAGCTGCCTCAGGTACTGTCCAAGGCTAAGGCCACTTTTGGAGGCTTAAAGAGTTCCTGAGGCCGAGTCATGCTGGTCTCCAGACTCCACATGAAAACATTCTCTCCAGCTGATTGAACCCTTGTGCAGTTGGCATTTCTCTGCCGACATGCAAGTGAGGATGCCTTAGCAGCTGCTGGGGCCAGAGCATCCATCTCCGGTCTGGGAAGTGACTGATGCATCTACTAGACATTGGGACTTCTGGTCCTGTTACCACGGTCCATGCTGCAGCCCTCTAGCAGGCTGTCCCCTGCTCTTCAAACCCGTGCTCCCAAGTCCCCTCCTCCTTCCAACTTGGCATAACTCCCCAGACTGAGGCGGTCCAGCCGTGGCCAGCTCCGGTGAGCACAGTCTCGAGCCGCTGGGGCCCCAAGCAGGAGCTCCCCGAGGCCCAGATCCAGAGACTTGGAATGTTCAATGCAGGAACCAGAGGGCTGCACGGTGATAATCACATGGCCAGTCTGGGTCCGTGGACCCCAGGGTGGGGGCAGCCCCGGGCCCTTCAGCGGGTAACTGTTGAGCAGGGCAGGTAACCCCAAGCGAGGATTAGCAGGCTCTGAACGCAGACTCCGCACTGATGGGACGGGTGAGGTACCCCGACGCGGGGACAGGTCCCAACTTTCTGGCTCTATGCAGCCTATGGCTCCGGGAGTCCTGGGTCCGGGGCTGGGGAGGAGGGCACAGTCCCAGCCGGGGCCGTCAGGGGGCCGGAGCGCCTGAGCCCGCAGCACCCCCTGGCGAAGCCGTCGCGTCTCCAGGTCGCGGTTCTCGTAGAGCAGCGTGTTGGCGCAGATGAACACGAACAGGCCGACGCCCATGACCACGGGCCCAAGGAGCCGCAGCCGCTCGTGCGGGCCGTGCCCGCGGCCCGCGCCGCGACCCTCGCGTCGCAGCTCGCTCAGGGGGGGCGCGCTGGCATTGGCAGCGCGCGGCCCTGGGACCCCGGCGCGGTGCGGCCAGTAGCCGGCCACAGCGATGCCCATGCCCACCAGGACCACGAGCGCCCCCAGCGCCGCGAACGCCCCCGACGGCGAGCGCAGCCGCAGCCGTGCCCGCACCCGCAGAGGCTCGGGCGGGGAGCGCGGGCGCCGGCGGCGGCCCAGGCGGCGGCCCAGGCGAGAGACACGGCCCTCGGGGCTCCTCCGCACCTCCCCGCAGTCTCCGGGGCTCCCGGCTGTCATCTCGCCGTCGTCCGGGCGCTCTGCGGAGAGATGGGAGGCAAGGACTGAACCGACGGGCCTAGGGTCGGAGCGCCAGATTGGGAGGCAAGATCCGGCTGCCTCGCCCAGGCCGCTTGGAGATCCCTGGCGGCCACCCCCGGATTTTCCCGGGCCGCGAGGCGGGGAGCCGCCCCCGCTCGGGTTTTCCGCAGCGGAGCTCCGAGCCAGGGACGCGCGGCAGAAGCCGGAGTTGGCCGGACCCGCGGGCGGAGAGGAGGGAGGGGGGCGCGAACTGCTACCTGGCGCATTCGCGGCTGCGGGGCTCCGGCCGCCTGCACCCTCTTCGCCAGCCCGCCGACCCCGGGCCTCGGGAGGTGTGCGGGCCCCCGGCACTGGCGTCTCCAGGGTAAGTCCGGCCCGGGATCGACCTCACCCCCGCACGTGGGTGCACCGTAGTAAAGGAGGGAGGGGGCGCTCAGACCGCCCGGGGTCCGCTGGGGTCGCTCGCGGGCCCCACCTACCCCCCAACTGCGCTTTACATACCGCAGCGGAGGAAGGAGAGGGTGTCACTGACTCCAGCCTCTTCCTGCCCACCCCCTCCTTCAGACCTCCTCAGCCTGCACTGAAGCTGCAGCAGGAGAGACTTGAGCTAGACTCCGGGAAGACCGTTCTGACCAAGACCAGCGGCAGACTTTGCCCAGGATGGCTTTCAACTCCGCGTAGAAGAGGCTTCCCTTCCCCCAGCGGCCGGGCAGTGGCCAGGGCAGGGGGCAGGGGGCTGCAGGTGCTGGGCTGGGGCCCTGCCGGGAGACCTCCCCCCAGCTCTCCCGTCGGCCCGGGCAAGGCTGTTCCCAGGTTGCAGCGTTTCCAATTCGAGCTCCTCAGGATGAATCATCCCCCTTTCCCGCCGCCTGTCCTCCTTTCCGGCCTCCTCCACCAGAGGCCTCAGTGGCCCGCGTCCCGGACGGAGCAGCACCGCCCCAGCACCTCAGGCCGCCCCAGTTTGGGCTGCCTGGCTTCAGCCCTTCCCGTCCTGGGGCCTAAGAACTGAAGCGGGGCCGGGTAAGGAGTAGCTGGGCTGTGTGTGGTGTGGCCCCCACGGAAGGGGGGTGTGGGGGGGAGGAAACGGGGGCCCCCCGCCCAGACGCCCTGGGCCGCAGGGGAGGAGGGCTAGGACCTCGCTGTCCAGGGGTGCGTCTTCACTCCCCCCAGTCTGGTTTCTAAACAGTTTCAGCGCTGGAATCCGTGCCGAGGCCCCAGGAAGGAGGTCTTGCTGCCCCATTCACTCCCCATCCGCACCCCCGAAGCTCAAGGCACGACACCCCATCCCTGCCTCCGACAGGAGTGCCGAAGGCCCAGGGCCTAGCATGGAGCCGCAGAGTCTACGGCGTCCAAAGCCTGATTTTCACAGATGGAAACTGCGGCCCAGAGAGAGGCAGAGCCCCCTGCCGGGGTCACACGAGGAGGGGGCTCCCCCGGGACCCGACGCCGGGCCTCCGGACCCTAGCTAACGCTGTGCTCTTCCCGGCACAGCCACGGGAGCGTCCTGGGAGGAGGCAAGGGCCGTTCCCCGGTCGTCTCTGAGTGTGGAGCCTCTTCCCCAGCCCGAAACCGCAGAAGAGACCACCGCGCCCCGGGCCAGAGCTGGTGCCCCAGCTCCAACTCCGGAAAGGTCGCCCGGAGCCCCCGCGCGTCCCTGCGGGGAGGGAGGCGGAGGCGTGCGGAGAGACCCCAAGACTCTGGAAGGCGTGAGTCCACGCTGGGACCGCAGGGGTTATAAACTCGGAGCCACAGTCGGAAGGTCTCAGGCCACGGGAAGTTGCTCTGGGCCGGGTCCCTCGCACTCTGGGGTCCCGCGTCCGCCCGCGCCCACACTCCGCCCGGGGGAAAAGGGCGGACCGGGCTCCCGCCCCCCAGGGCCTTTCCGGAGGGAGGGGCCAAACAAAAAGTTGAGGAAAGTGGAGGGCGAACCCGGGGCCCTAGTTTTGCTCACCTGGCGCCGCCGCGCCGGGACGGGCCCTGGTCCGAGTCCGCGCGCCGCGGCTCCGGCCACTGCCGCCGTCTCCGCCGAGTCTTGGCCCCCTGGCCCCGCCCCCTTCCCAGGCCCCGCCCGGCCCCGCCCAAACCCCGCCCCCAGGAGCCCGGGGGACTGACTGGCTAGCACCCCGCCAGGCCCCACCGCTGGAAGCAGGCAGCAGCTCGGGTCTGAGGGTCGCAGGTAAGCGCTGTGTGCTCGCCTGGTGACTCGGAGGATCCGGGGGCCCGAGTCCCGGACTTATGTCGTTCGCAGAGGCCTGGGAGGGCCCCCTCTTCCCACGTGGGTAAACTGAGACCCGGAGTTGGAGAGCCCTGCCCGGCTCCGCAGCGAGCGCGCAGACAGGATTTTCGAAGCCCGCACGCCCTCCCGCGCCTGTCTGAGCCCCTCATCCCAGGCGCCCGGGAGAGGACTCACGGGGGCGTCTGAGAGCCCACTGCTGCCCCGCGCCGTCCGGGGAGCTCCCCGGAGGAGGCGGCCGGGTCCCTGCTCCGCCCGCCCCCCAGCCTTTCCCCTCCATGATCCTCACTGCCTTCACCTGGAAAATGGGCTTAATGGTGTCCGCCTCGCAAGAGGCGAAAATCCAGCGTTGGGGGCGGGCACGCGACACGGGGCGCAGCCTAGGTAGTCCCGCGAGCGCTCAGTGAATAGGAGCCCGCGGCAGGGGTGGAGGCGGCGGGGCTGAGCCGCTTCTCAGAGCTGAGTGAGTCTAACGGAGGGTCACGGGTCCCGCCGGCCTTCCCTGAGAAGATGTGCCCCATCTGGAGTGGGGAGGCGGCGTCGGCCCCCAACGCCGAGGCACTGGGGGCGCCCCCCGCCGCGGGCCTGACCGGGCCGCCCAGCTCTCGAGCCCCGCCCGCCCCCTGAGGCAGGAATGCGGAGCGGAGCGAGGGGGTCGGCTGGCGGCCCAGTTTCCATGATGCGGGGGGCGGGCTCGGAGGAGGAGGAGGGGTGGCGCGGGCGGCCGGCCAGGCTCTGAGCCGCCCCCCCCCCCCCCGGGCCCCCGCAGCCCGGGCCCCTCGGGAGGAATTTCCGGGCTGGGATTGATTATAACCCGCCCCTCCCCCGGCCGCCGAGACCCCCCGGCCCGTGGGGCGCGGGGGAGGGGGAGGGGCGGTAATGAGACCCGGCTGTGCGCCCCGGGCGGGGAGGGGGGCGCTCGAGGAAGTCGCCGGCCTGGGCCACCCCACCTCGCAGGGCGCCACACAGCACGGCTAGGCCTCGAACCCAGCTCGGCCGAGTAGACCGGGGGTGGCCTCAGCGCCCCGGGGGCTCCTTGCCCAGCCCTCGGGGACAGGCATCCCTGGGAGCGACCGAGGCCACCCCTGGGGGCGGAGTCTCCTGCGGGACTGACCGTGAGGCTACCGGCCTCCCGCGGAGCGCATGGGGCCGAGCCAGGGGTCGTGTAGGGTCGGAGAGCCAGGCCGGGGTCGCCTTCCTGCCGCCGCGTGGGGCTGAAGGCTCCTGCGGCCTGAGCTCGAGAGAGAAGTCCCTCCGCTCTGCGCCTGGGCTGTGGTTCAGGCTCCACTGAGGCGGTGGCCTCCTTCCTGTCCCCTCTTTGCTCGAGACCCCCAGTCGACCTCCATTCCCGCACATTGACCCCTCTACGCCGCCCCCCCGCCCGCCCTCGGGCAGTCCCACCTACCGCTCGCTCGACGCTGCACCCAACATTGTCTGTGGCCCTGTCCCCCGTGGCTGCTTTTCCTGGGGACACCACCTCGAGGCCAAAGCTCAGACAGTCTCCCGTCCTTGTCCTTGCGACTCCACCTGCCCTGGCCTTTAACACTTGCTCTTCTTGCCTGCCCCTCCTGACTTTTATTCCTCTGGGCCGCCTCTGCCCTCCCCTGACGTTGGGGCTCTGCGGGGCTGGGCCCACAAGCCCAGCCTCACTTTCAGCAACCAGACACCTCCCCAGAAGTGTCCCTGCTCCCAGTGATCATGGCCCATTCCTACTCCTCCTGTTCCCCGCCCTGTAAAGGGCCCCATTGCCCACCAGAGGACCATCAAAAGGGGGGGGGGAGGGGGGCGTCACCTTAGGCTCCCTCCTCTCCCCCATACCCCCCAATCCTTCAAGTCCTGTGGACCTCCCTCTTTGGATCCCCAATTAGCTGCCTTCTCCCCTGGATCTAAACCACTCACTCACTCTGCTTAAAACCCTCAGTGGCTCCCCAGCGCTGTCCAAATGGAGTTTAAAATCCCTTCCCATCTGCACACACTGGCTCCTGCGCCCCCACCCTCCTCCGTCCCCTGGTAGCTGAACTTGTTCTCATCCCCATATTTGTGCTCTGGCCTTGGGGCTTGGCCCCTGCCTTGACTCCTGGCAGGAACTCCCACTCCCAGTCATCCCCTTGGTTCCTTCCGGTCCTTCAGACCTTCTCTGCACCTTCTGTGGGCCCCCAGGGCTCGTCAGCCTTGCCCCTCCCCACCCCGCCATTATACACCCTCCCCCAGCTCTCCTTTGCTCTGCTCACAGAACTGAAATCCGTGTTTGGGATTTGCGCCTAGGTCCTGTGTCCCCTCTGAGGGGAGGACTGGGTCTGTCCTGCCCCTCCCTAGCCCTGGCCCTCCATTGACCTGTGTCTCCCCCACTCTGGGGGTCCCTCCTAATGTGCATCCCTGGGGCTCCAGCCCAGACAGCAGGAAAGGACTCATCTCCGAGTCTCAGTTTCCCCATCTGCACAAAAAGCAGGGAATGATACTTACCTCCCAGTGCCGTTTTGAAGCTTAGGTAAGAGCACAGATGTTCCGTATCTGGCACGAAGTGGCTGCCCACAAAACAGCTGTTCCTTCCTCTGACCCCAGGGTTTGGGGCACAGAAGCCGGGATTTAGGAGTTGGAGAAACCTTCCCTGGGGTCATCTGGGGTGGTAGTGAGAAAAGGGTCCTCTTTCCCTCAACATAAGCCTGCTTGATTCTCTCGAGAGCTCTGGGAGGCCAGTGATAGGCCCAGTTTACAGAAGCGGAAAGCGGCTCAGAGAGGCCGCGCAGACACACAGCCAGGCTGCTAAGTGCTCTCCCCCTCCACAGAGGGAGCGCCATGGCAGATGTGTGGGAAGCCAGTGGCCTTAGTACTGGGACATCGGTTCCCTCCTGGATCTGCCTCTGTGTGACCTGGACTCCTTTACTTCTGCACCAGAAGAGGCCTGGGCGAGGTGTCCCCTGGGGCCAAGGTGGTCGGCATTTCCCCCCCAAGCTTCTCCCGGGGTGCAGGGAACGGGACACAGGGACCCTGAGGTCCCTTCCTCCTTGAGGCTCCCTGTCCTCTCCGAAAGCCATGACGGGCAGGGAGCAGCTGTCATGTCCTGCCTGTCACAACCCCGCCCAGGGCCACAGAAGAGCCGGGCCTGGGAACTCATCTTCTCTCATCTCCAGTTTAGGAACAACCCCGCTGGCTGGGTCCAGGCTGCCCCAGATTTCCTGCCTGAGCCCCAGGGGTGTCTAAAACCATCCTTGTCTCTGGGCCGTCCCAGAAGCACTTAGAGGACACAGCTGAATGCCCATGGGGCCCCAGCCCAGCAAGACCACAGCATCAACTAAGAAGGAGAGGAGAGAGCACGGGGGCTCCGAGACCCAGTTTTGATGCAACTGCTCAGTCACTGGGTGAGTCCGGGCACATCACGGGAGTCCCTCCATGCTCCTGCCTCTGGAATGGGTCCTTCACAGGAAGAACTGGTAGGCCGGTTCAGTAAGAAATGATTGGCAAGTAGAATCCAGAACCCCAGTGCCAATGCCCCATTATATAGGGGCAGAAACCAATGCCCAGAGAGGCATGGTGATTAGACCCGGGTGACCCAGCCTGTGAATGACAGCTGGGCTTCAGGCCCCACAGTTACAGGTCCCCACCCTGGGCTCAGGCTTCAGGGGTTGCTGGGATGGGAACCCCAAGTCCATCCCCCCACCCGTGGAAGCTCTGAGCTGGGCAATGGCTTCCCTGGTGTCTCTGTCACTGGCAAAGCTCCTGGGAAGAATGAGCTTCCCGTCTCCATTGCTCTCCCAAGCCCAGAGAAGAGAAGGAGTACAGCCTGGGTGACACTGGGAAGGCCAAGGAGATGAGACCCTCCTGGGGGGACAGAGCAAAGCCAGCATCCTGCCTGAGTCCCTAGGGGAGGGATGACAGTCGGAAGTCGCCATCTTGTCAAGCTCCCTCTGGCTACCAGCCCCTTCATACCTGTTACCTTCCTAAGTGTGCAAGACAACCCTGAGAGGGAGGTGACACTATCACCCCTTGTCACCCATGCTACACTATGTCCCACTAGCCCTGCGACCGTGGCCAAGTCAGTTCACCCCTTATGGCTCTGTTTTCTCCTCTGCAAAGCAGGGACAATGGCAGCAGGCGGGCAAAGGCCTCTAATGAGGAGGGGGCTCCGCAGGAAACACTGTGGCACTGGAGCTTTTCTGGTCTTCAACTGGCTCTTGTCCATCAGTTTCCTCTCCTATATAATGTGAAAGTGAGGCTAGTAACCCTTCAGCCACCTCCTCTGGGGACCAGAGAGGAGCCAGCCCTGGGCCCCATCCAGATGCATCAGGGGGTGAAGTGAACAGACCATCCACCAAAAGCTGAGGAAGCGACAGCCGACTCCATGTGGGGGGCAGGCAGCAGGGAGGGCTTCATGGAGGAGGGGGCCTTCCTGCTGGGTCTCAGGGTCAGCAGAGTTACCCAGGCTGTAGAGGGGGAGGATATTCCAGGCAGCAGGAACAGCAGGTGGACAGCCTGGCAGCATGGGTGGGGGGCAGGTGCTGGAGAGGGAGTGGGGAATGGGATGAAGGGCTCAGGGCCTGATCACAAGCCTCCTCAAACACCAGGCTCGGGGTGTAGGGCTCAGCCCTCTGGCACTGGGAGCCATGGGACGTTTTAAAGCAGGGAAGTAGCCTGATCCATATGTACCTGGGGAAGGACTTCACAAACTGTAAGCGTGGCACCTGTAATAGTTTCTCGAAGAACACAGAGAGAAGGTGCGGCGGGACACGGAGCCCCAGGCCCATCCAGGGGCAGGTATGGCGCTGGGGAGGTTTGCCCCTGCAGACGGGCTCTGGTGGCCGTGGGAAAGAGCAGCAGCCCACTGCCTCCCCGTCCTCTGGTTCTGTTCCTGAAGCCGGCTGCTCTGGCCCCCTCCCCCCCAACCCTTCCCAGTTCTCTTGCTTTGCCCCTTCCCCTGGGACCCTCGAGGCAGGAATGAAGGAAGTGATTTTGAGAAGAGCCCAGACTTAGGAGTCCATGACTAAGGCTTGACCTGTTGCCTGGCCACTTACGGGCTGTGTGACCCAGTGAAGATGCTTCTGTCTTCCTGAGCCCTCCTTTACATGCTCTGTAGAATGGAGAGGTGCTGTAAGCCCCCCACTCCCAAAAGCACTGGAAACATGAAGCGGGTGGGTAAGGACCCAGGCTCCTTCCATCTTGTTGCTCTGCCATTCCTGAGGTGTGGCACCCACCTTGTCTTCGTGCTTGAAGATGCTCACTAGCCTCCCTCCCTGAGTCGAAGACCAGCCAGGGAGAATGGGGCTGGGAAAGGGGACTGTGCTCCCCACCCCTTATAAAGGCATAGCCTCCCATGCGCACGTCCAGAATGCTCCCTTCCCATTGGTCAGAACAAGGTTGTTGGCCACACCCAGCCCCAAGGGAGGCTGGGAAATGACACTGGGAGACAACTAGGAGTGCTTGCTAGATACCACGGGGATGGGGCTCCTCTGTTTGGTGACAAGTCACACTGGTGATGAGGCAGTGGGGGAGCAGAGGCTGACCCCTCTGGAGCCTGGGAGTCAAGGTGAGAATCCTCCAGGGCAGGTCGGCAGGGGCAAGGGGGCCCTGGAGTTGGCAGCAGGCTGGCCAGCCATCTTCCACCCTTTGATTGTGCCAAGAGAAGCCAGGGGCCCCCTGGGAGTTGAATCCATCTACCTGTCCATCACCCGGCCCTGTGGAGAGCAACTCTCAGGCTCTCACACTATATGGTCGTTTCTCCCACCCTGACACTACAACCTCGGGCCGGTCCCAGTTCTGTCGATATCATGGAGTCAAATGCCAGCTTCCGGATCTTGAATGAAGTACTTTGTAAAGTCAAAGTAAGAAGGCCCACGGAGGGTGAGTGACATGCCCAAGGTCACACAGCTTGATCATGTGTCAAGTCGCCCCGATTCGCCTTTCCCCATCTCGGTGAGGCAGGACTGCAGTTCCAGGGCTTGGTTCCCAGGGCTTGGTTCCCAGGCCTGGGGCGGGGGGTGGCGGGAAGTACGCCAGAGACACAGCGCTGGAGCCGGGGCGCCAGGGGGGTCCTCGCAGAAGCCTGGGCGCGGCAAGCAGGCGGGGCTCCGCCGAGGCCGGCGTCACCTGGCGGCGAGGCCCTGCACCTGCGCAGGCCCCGCCCCGCCCCGCCCGCGCGCGCACCTCCCTTCCCGGTGCCGAGCGCCGCGTTTGCAGCCCAGAAGCCGGGCCTGGTCCCCAGCCGGAGATCCTGGGAGCGCATGTGTGCTCCCCGGGGCCTCATCCGTGGTCACGGGCCTCCGACAGAAAGGACTCAGCCTGGGGAGGCCGGGCTGCGCGGGGAGGGAGCACACAAAGCTCTGTGGCCAAGCCGAACGGGACGAAACCCCTTGGGGGGAGGGGGGGGGAGTCAGATTTACCCCGCGTGGGAGCCCCTTCCAGGCGCTGCTGGAACAGGGGCTCCCGTCCGAGCACAGGAAACAGGCACAGAAACCCAAAATGGTAAGTGACAGAGCTGGGCTGAGCCCAGGACTGCTTGATTTAAACCCACACTCTGGCCCTGGATTACCTGTCCGGGGCTCTGCGGTGCCTTCCCTCCAACCAAGCTTGCCTAGCCCAGCCCCTAGCTTGTGTATCCAGCCCAGGCCTGTAGAAGTTTGCTTTTTTATCAGACAGGCCACAATCCTGGGATGTTTGCGATGACTGTCTCACCACTGCAAAGCGGACCAGAGGCCCAGGGAGCTCCTGCCCTCCACTTGGAATGCTGGAGAGGCAGGGAGCAGCCAGACCCCGTGGAGTCCGCATCAGCTCATGTTAGGGACCAGGAGACCCAGGAGGTGGCCGGGCTGCAGTGGGCCCCAGCAGGTGCTTCCCTCCCTGTGGCAGGGCTCCAGGCCAGGTCTGTCTGACTCCTGAGCCTCCACACAGAATTGGGAGATAAGAGATATGAATTATTGTCCTTATTTTACAGATGGGAAACTATGACGCAGGGTTAAGTAACTTGTCTGAGGTCACACGCAAGAAGGTATCTCATGTCCTCTAAGATTGGGACAGCATGCTGACCTCACAAGGGTGTTGTGAGGACCAGGTCACTTGACAGGTGTAAGCCCCCTCCTCCGGGCCTGGTGTGGAGTCAGTTCTGGGTCAGTATTAGCTCAGTCACTTGACCTCCTACTGATGTTTTGCAGGAACCTCATGTCTTATTCCAGTACAAAGAGATATTCTAGTAAGAAGTAGCCAAGGGACGCCTGGGTGGCTCAGTCGGTTAAGCGTCTGCCTTCAGCTCGGGTCATGATCCCAGGGTCCTGGGATCGAGTCCCGCATCGGGCTCCCTGCTCCGCAGGGAGCCTGCTTCTCCCTCTGCCTCTGCCTCTCATGAATAAATAAATAAAATCTTTAAAAAAAAAAAAGAAGAAGAAGTAGCCAAAAGGACGAGGAGAAAACGTCCTTGGACGGTCACAGGTCCTGGCAGTTTCTTCACAGGGACCCCAGCACCTCCAGTCACTAAGCCGAGGTGTCCCTGTGAGGGCTGCCAGGCACCAGCCTCGATGTCGAGTCCAGTACAGATTTCGGGCTTGGAAGAACCACTGATGATGCTCCAAGAGGCTCTTCAAATCTCTTGTCAAGAGATGCTTGAGAGAAAACATTAGGATGACTGAAGGATTATTGAAAGAACCTACAGTCAACTTAAAAGCAGCGAAAGGACAAAAATAACACCACGTTGTAGTCACTGATGTGTGTGGTCCTGAATTTTTCATCTTTTTCCAGGAATTCTCATCTTCCCAATGAAGTTGGTTCAGCAAATGATATTTAATATCCAAGCCTTTGTAAGACTTTCCATGGAAATAAATTCCTGAATGGGGAAGAGGACTTCGGAGGCTGGCTTGAGTGGGTGTCCTGTCGGCGTGGGCAGCTCTCGCTGTCCGTCCTGTTCTAAATACCGCCGCCCGGGGAAACACCTTTGTGCTAGAACTCACTCCTCTATGTTGTCCCCTCAGGGGGACAGCAGTCGGGAGTCCAAGCCCTGCAGCCTCCAGACTTCCCTCTCCCTTCTGGAGCTTTCTGGCCACAGGTCAGGATCACAGTCTGGCCACAGGTTCCATATTGAAGGCCAGGTGTAGCGCACGGGGTTAGGGGGGTTCTAATGTGCATTTCTGTAGGAACGTCCCCCAGGTTCTGATTAGACTAAGAAACACCCGGGGTTCCTGGAAAGTGGGACTTGAGGATAAATTATTCCATCTCTCTCAGGAAGAGATTTGGGTTCTGATAGGATCTGATTAAATCCCCAGTTGCCTTGGGGTGAGACTCTTGCACTGTGAGTATAATACACCTCCGGGAAAGCGGTGACACCTGACCGCCCGGCTCAGTCAACTGGCAGGAGGCGGCGTCCCCTGTCGCGGCCGGCGCACCCAGAGGCCCCCGTGTGTGCCGAAAGCACACACAACCTCTAACACTATAGTTTTTCCAAACAGCTACGGTTTAGCGTGGCCTGACTGAAAAGCTCACGTACGTGGAATGAGTTTGTGTGCACGTGTGTCGGGCTCTCGGTCTGCGCCGTCCCCGTGCTGCCTCGCGGGCTGTGACCTGCTCGCTCCACCGGCGGGGTCCTCGGTGCCAGAGACGCGCCGCCGCTTCTCCACGTCACGGGGGCAGACTCTGGGGGCGCTTCTCGTTCGGGGCTGTGACAAAGCCAGCGGCGCAGGGCCTTCCTGTGGGCGCCGCCTGCGCGCTTCTGGCCGCTGCCCCCCCCCCCCCCCCCCCGGGGCCGGGCTCCTCCCGCGCCTCGCAGCCTCGTGGCGCCCGGAAGCTTCCGCGTGCCGCCCCCGGCCCTGTTGCCTCGCCCGTGTCCCTCCGGGTTCCCGTACCGAGCTTGGATCGATTTCCGTTTCTTCGGGCGCTAGCGCTGACAGGGAGGCCCTCTGTACTTGCTGAAGCTTCTCGAAGACTAGCCCGTGTCTGGTTCATCTTTAAATCCTCCTCAAGACGGGCCAGCGCAGCTGGCGCCGAGGGATCTAGGCTCGGCCCTGCCGCGTCGCCTGGGTTCTTGCCCCTTGTCCAGGCAGGTCGTCCGGCTCCCGCCGAGGGGCAGAGGAGGCGCGCGGGCGCCGGGGGAGCGGGAAGCACAGGGTTCGGGGCCCCCCTCAGCGCAGCGGCCGCTCTGCCCCCCGAGCTTCCCACTTGCCCTCAGAGGCCCCTGACGCTCCTTCAGGGAGGCCGCTGGGGGGCGGGCTGGGGGCGAGCGGGGACGGGAGTGCCGTGACCAGGCCAAGCGGCCGCCTCGGCTCTATCCTGGGGACCGTCCCCGGGGCCCCAACCGACGGGGGCCACCAGCCTTCAGCGCCTAACCACGCTTGCGACAAGGACACGGTTTGGACAGGCTTCCCTCGGTGAGCGTGTCTTGTGTGGTGGCCCCTGAGCCCTTCCTTCCTCTCGTTGGTTTGGCTCTGCTAGATTTCCGCCTCCCCTTTGGTGGCCTGTAATTAGGGGGTTTGAGTTGTCGTCACCTCCTTGTCTTAAGAAAACGCAGACTAGGAAGCCGCGGGGTTCAGCTGGTGAGGCCCCGCCGTTCCCACCTGCGCTGGGGGGGGGGGGCGCTCCGGTCTGTCTGCCGCTGCGGCTTTTGGGATCTTTGGGTAAAGCTGGCTGTGTTCTACCAGGAAACGGGGAAATGACCATTTGATTCCCGAATGTAGCCCTCGGGGCTATGTTCTCCAAAATCGGGCCATCTCTTTTTGCCGCCCTGCTTGGCCACAATATTCATTAGACTCTGGAGAAAAATGACCAATGAAGGGATGCATATATTATAATGTATTTGGAAATATGGGCTTTAAGATTGTGTTTGCGTCTTGTTTGCGTATTTGTGTGCCCATGTATGTTTTAAGTGTGAGCTATCTTCTCGATCTCGGGATGGTGTTGCTAAAATTAGTTTGTGAAAGAGCTCTATTTAGTTGGTTTAAAGGCAAGTACTTGTAAGGATTGGGCATTCTAAAACTCCAGTTGCCATGATCTGGGAAAATATTTGACATTAAAGCTAATTTAAGGTCGGTGGTTTAATAAAAATGAACAGGTTTTTAGAGTTGTCAGCATTAGATGAGAACTGTTCTGCCGTGTTTACTGCGAGTCGGGCAGGTTCAGGTCATCTCTCCTGCAAAATTTGTTAGGAAAGGGGAAAAAAACCTTACAACTTTGATGTCTCATAGTTTTATGGGTAATCTACACATAATTGTTGAACAAATAAGCAGATGTAAGTAATTAATAAGCATAGGTTTATCTGCTTGGCTATTACAGAAAAACTGGTACAACAAACTGCTCACGATGACTACTTTTCAGTAGAAACTAAGGTTTTTAGGAGCTAAGAATAAATTTAATCACGACTACTAGAAATAATGAGAAAGAGCTCAATGCAAAGGAAGTGAGATCGGTTATTTAAAGAGGGAAAATGTAGGACAAAATCTGAATGTAAAAAGCATAGTTGTAGAAGGTTTGTGAGAAGGCATCTTTGGAAGAGAATTTGTTGTGGCTGGGACTGAGGACGATTTCGGAGATCAGTATGTAAAGCTTGTTACAGAGTGATCAGCCCCTGGGGAAGGGAAAGGTGGGGAAGAGCAGGACCAGGCAGACGTGGAGCAGTGAGCCAACACCCACAGAAGCCTTAGCTCATTCTCTGGGGTTCCAAAAGTTAGATTACCCTTCAGAACCATCGTAAGTTGGGGCAAAGGGCTGGACTTCTATACCCTCCTACTGAATAGTCATTGGATGTGACCACCTGGGAAGAGGGCATGACCTTGGCAAGGCAGCTGTCTGCAGTCAAGGCAGTCCCTGATGGCATCTAGCTGCTGAGGATTGCTGGCAGCTCCCCCACAGCTGAGAGCCCTTCATTCCTGGTGGGGATTCTGGTCAGCACATCCCAATACTCACACGAACTCAGATCCATGCAACGCCCTGCATGTTCTTGTCTCAATAAGTATGTATCAGGGCACCTGGGTGGCGCAGGTGATTAAGTGTCCGACTCTGGGTTTTGGCTCAGGTCATGATCTCGGGGTCGTGGGACTGAACCCCAAGTTCAACTTTGCGCTCAGTGCAGAGTCTGCTTCAGATTCTCTCTCTCTGTCCCTCCTGCTCTCTCTAAAATAGGTAAACAAGGGACACCTGGGTGGCTCAGTTGGTTAAGCATCTGCCTTCAGATAGCAGACACTTCATAGCAGAAAGAAAGGTCGTGATCTCAGGGTCCTGAGATCGACTGCTCTGCAGGGAAACTGCTTCTCCCTCTGCCTGCCGCTCCCCCTGCTTGTGCACACGCTCTCTCTCTCTGGCAAATAAATAAAATCCTAAAAATAAATAAACAAATCTTAAAAAAAAAAGTATATATCAACATGGGAGATGACAGGGAGAGAAAAAGGAGGGACTGCATAATTTAAAAAAAAATTCATCTTATTATTGGGGTGCCTGCCTGGCTCAGTTGGTGGAGTCGGCAACTCTTGATCTCAGGGTCATGAGTTCAAACCCCACTTTTAATTAAACTAGAGTTTACTATAAAACAAATAGGGTGCCTGAGTGGCTCAGTCAGTTAAGCGTCTGCCGTTGGCTTACTTCATGATCCCAGGGTCCTGGGATCGAGTCCCACATTGGGCTCCCTGCTCAGCGGGGGAGTCTGCTTCTCCCTCTCCCTCTGCGCCCCCACCCCTGTTCGTGCTCTCTCTCTCTCAAATAAATAAAATCTTTAAAAAACAAAAACAAATCGGGGCACTTGGGTGGCTCAGTCACTTGAGTGTCTGACCTTGATTTCAGCTCAGGTCATGATCTCAGGCTCATGAGATCGAGCCCCACACCAGGCTCTGCACTTGGGATTCTCTCTCTCCTCCCACTGCCCCCCCGCCAAAAACCCAAATAAACAAAATTCATCTCTTTGGAATGAATGAGTTTTGCTATCAGAAGCACACTGGTATAAGATTGGTATTTGGGTTTTCTCTGTTAAAATGATATTTGGGGGTGCTTCGCTTGTTCAGTTGGTGGAGCATGAGACTCTTGATCTTGGGGTTGTGAGTTCAAGCCCCATGCATTGGGTGTAGAGATTACTTTAAAAAAATCTTTAAAAAAAAGTTTGGTTTTCTTAGTTATTGGTCCACTCTTAATAAGAAATTGTAAACAAAGGTTTTTCTTTAATGTAATCTTCCTAGAAAAACAAAGTTTCCATGTTTTGCCCTAATTAGGTCTTTGATTACTTAAAGTTGAATCTTCTCAATATTAAAAAAGCGAAGTTTTGCTAACAACCATATAACCCTCTGTATTTGCCTTTAGAATCTCTTATTGCCACTTTAGCAAAATAGATCATTAAGTATTAAGCTTTGTAATGATCTGTTCTGATATTTCTGATAAACTTCCCCAAATTCAACCTGTAAATGAAGTGTTGAGTTTTGTTACTAATTGGGCTTAGTTGTTGTGTCCAATTCCATGGGAAGCATTGAAATAAGTGATGATAAACCTTCAGAGAGTATATTACGTGGGTGGATGCTGTAACTGTTCCAGAATTCCTAAGGTTTTGATATGTCCTGGTATAATGTCATCACTTGTAATTCTAATTATTAAAGTGTTATGTATCACAAAAATAACCACATTTCCTTGTTGATTGCATTGTAATGAACTCTAACCAGATCTTTAACCACAGCCGGGTTTGAGTTTTTGGTCATTTGCAGTTGTTGTTTTACTCTGACACTCTTGCAAATGTGTCTCAGTTTTAAGAAGATTCATGGAGAGGACTTTGACAAATACGGGGCTCTGATAATTTCTGGAACTAATGGGAAGACTGCATTCAAAGAGAATAGGATTTGATAACATGGGACAGGATGAATTGAGGAAGATGAGCTGTCAAAGTCTCAAATGCCAAAGAAGGTTCTCGAAATAATGACAAATGCATGTTCCTTTTGTACATTGGAGAAGGTTTTGTTAGTAAGAGCAAAAGACAGAAAACAAAGGCTTCCGAAGATGGGTATAAGCTTGGAGTGTTGATGGGGTTCTTATTTAAGACCTTTATGCCCTCCGAGATTGAGGCTGAAAACCTGTTTAAACTCTTTGTCAACCTGCTTTGCCCTATCATTTTTGCTCATGAACCTTTTTTTTTTTAAGTTTTATTCATTTAAATAATCTCTGCACCTAGCGTGGGGCTTGAACTCACAACCCCAAGGTCAAGAGTCACACGCTCTTCTGACTGAGCCTGCCAGGCGCCCCTGCTCATGAACTTGTTAAAGCAGGTCCAGCAGTGGCACTCTGGGGGAAGCCAAAAATAGGCAGATGACAAAAACAGAATTCCGATTGGAGGAGATCCCTGTGTCCTTGTAGTTGGAGATGCAGGCTTGGGAAAGAGTCCGATCCCTACAGGCAGCATGCAGCATTGCTCCATGACGCATGTGTTTGTGGTGAGAACACACCTCTGGCTTGATGGTAACTTTTTTTTTTTTTTAGATTTTATTTATTTATTCATGAGAGACAGAGAGAGATAGAGAGAGGCAGAGGGAGAAGCAGACTCCCAAGGAGCAGGGAGCCCGATGCAGGACTCGATCCCAGGACGCTGGGATCATGACCTGAGCCAAAGGCAGACGCTTAACCAACTGAGCCACCCAGGTGCCCGATGGTAACTCTTCAAAAGCTAGTTCTTCTGGAGATTTTGCTTTGGAAGCTGATGCCCTTCTACTTGGTGATCAGAGTATTTGTGGAATAGATGAGTTTGAGAAGATGGATAATGAACACGAAGCCTTGTTATAAGTAATGCAGCAGCAAAGCCTTGAGGCTGCTGTGGTTGTGCAGCCTCCCTGCGAGAATGTCCAGGATTGCTGCTCTAAGGCCAGTTGGAGGACACGACAATAAAGACCAGCGGTTTTGGGGCGCCTGGCGGGCTTAGTCGGTAGAGCATGCAACTCTTTTTTTTTTTTTTTAAGATTTTATGTATTTATTTGACAGAGAAAGATAGCAAGAGCGGGAACACAAGCAGGGGGAGTGGGAGAGGGAGAAGCAGGCTTCCCGCGGAGCAGGGAACCTGATGCGGGGCTCGATCCCAGGACCCTGGGACCATGACCTGAGCCGAAGGCAGACGCTTAATGACTGAGCCACCCAGGCGCCCCGAGCATGGAACTCTTGATCTTGGGGTCATGAGTTCGAGCCCCACATTGGGTACAGCGTTTGCTCAAAAATTAAAGACAAACAGCTTCTGAGAATTTTTTTTTTTAATTTTTATTTATTTGACAGAGACACAGTGAAAGAGGGAACACAAGCAGGGGGAGTGGGAGAGGGAGAAGCAGGCCTCCCGCCGAGCAGAGAGCCCGATGTGGGGCTCGATCCCAGGATCCCGGAACCATGACCTGAGCCGAAGGCAGGTGCCCAACGACTGAGCCACCCAGGCGCCCCGCTTCTGAGAATTTAAAAAGGGAGAGCACCTTGTTGTCCAGATTTGACTTGGTCTTTAGCCTGGTACACTCCAAATGAGAAGCACGACCACTTTATTGTCTGCACATGTGATTGCATTAAGAGCTGGAAAGCAGAGAACCATGGCAGCTCATATGAATCCTCAAGATTCAAATACTTCTGTACTTGAAGTGGTTTCTGATAAAACATCATGAGAAAGATTAAAGGTGGTTCCTGGTGAAACCCAAGATCCAATCCTCACCCGCAATTGAGAAAGTACACGGGTTATGCTCGGCAGTATGTCCATCCAAGGCCATCCACGGAAGCTGCTCAAATTCCTCAAGATTTTTACCTGGAGCTCTGGAAACAGAGCCAATGGTTAAATGGCCCACCAGGCAGCTGGGATCTCTTATTTATCTAACAGAGGCCCAAGCAAGGTCAGAAGGGAGAGAGGAAGCAACCAAAAAAGATGCTGAGGATTTCAATTTCATTAGCTTCCACAGATTGCCAAAGAGCAATAAACATTTCAGGATGCTGATTTTGAAAATTTTCTTGGATCATTAAATGACCAAGGTTACTTCTTGCAAAAAGGCCCAAAGGTTTACCACCTTCAAACTGGTAAATTTTGCTGAAGGACTACCTGGGACCTCCTGGGATTATTAAAGAATATGGAAAACACAGCCCCCAAACTTCTGGAAGACGATATCCCAAAGTAGTAATAGGAAAGGTGTTGATTATATATTATTTTAGTGATTCTTGTTTGAAACATTTCTGGTTCTCTGATGTTTGTTCTTCCAGATTTAAGAACATTTTTTCTAAGCTATCTATGACTTTCAGAAATTTGGTAAAATATTCCTTTGTAAACACATATAAAGCATTTATCTTTCATCCCTACTCCATCCCTCCAAGATTCAGAAACTCTCAGTGAGTATTCTTATGTTGGGGGCCGGGACACAGACAAGGACAGGAGTGGGGAGAGGAAATTGACATGTATTCTGGGCAGGGTTTGAGGTTTTTGAACTTTTTCTACAAGGAACAGAGTGCATGCTGCTACATTTCCTAATCGTGAACTGAAGTGAACTGGTCACCATGCGGCTGCTCCTGGCTCTTGCTGTCCTGCTTTTGGATTCTTCAGTTCACGGTTGTCCTGTGCGGAGAGCCAGGTACCAGTGGGTTTGCTGCAGTCCTGACGGTAATTCTGCAAACCGCATGGATGAGAAGGGGCCAACATTCAACCTACTTCTCGGTGAATCCAACAGAATCCTTCCTCCAAGGACTGACCCTGCTTCAATGACAAGATCCCAGAACTTGAATGATGTTTTCCCTCTTTCTGAGGACTATTTTGGATCTGGCTCTGGCTCTGGCTTCGGATCAGGATCTGGAAGTGGCTTCTTAACTGAAACTGAACAGGAATACCAAGCAGTAGATGAAAACAATGTTTTTTATTACAACTTTAGGCCTCTCAAGAGAAATCTGCCATCAGACAACCAGGACTGGGGCCAAGATGGTCTGTCAGAGAGAGAGGGAACACAAGCACAGTGGGGGGGCGGCAGGCAGAGGGAGAAGCAGGCTTCCCGCTGAGCAAGGAGCCCGACATGGGACTTGATCCCAGGACCTTGGGATCATGACCTGAGCCAAAGGCAGACGCTCAACCAACTGAGCCACCCAGGCGCCCCTATACTGTTTTTTTTTTTTTTTTTTAAATTCAGTTCAAGAAGCAAGTTGACAGGAATACTTCATATCTAAGTCTTCAGAACTGACTCTGTGAATTACAGATATGCCTCTTTTCTTATGAAAAACCCGGATGAAACAGTGAATTTATGGAGTGGGTATTTGACAAGACCAGTGTAATGGTATTGCTCTAATGTTACCATCAGATGTGTTTGCAGAACTGGTGGACATTGTTGAGAAGTGTGATTGCTGTTACAATTAGAAACTGAAGACCCAAATTAAAGCAAAATTGTGCTCTCAGTACTTCCTACTGCTTTGCTTCTTCCCCCAATATCTGTGTATTTTAAAATCTTACTGTATTAAAGCAGAACTATAATAATAAGAAAAAGACACAATTGGAAACATCATACAACCAAGCCACTGGAATGTCGTATTTGAGAGACAAGCACAGACTCAGATACGACCAGACAGTTTTTAGGAACTAAGGTTGACTTGGGGCGCCTGAGTGGCTCAGTCGGTTAAGCGGCTGCCTTCAGCTCAGGTCATGATCCTAGGGTCCTGGGATCGAGTCCCATGTCGGGCTCCCTGTTCGGCGGGGTACCTGCTTCTCCTTCTCCCTCTGTCTCCCGGCTTGTGCTCTCACTCTCTCTCTGTCAAATAAATAAATTTAAAAAAAGGAATTAGGGTTGACTTTATGGTACCAATGAGCCCCTTGGGAAAACTGGTGGGTAGATTTTACCATGGTGCCAAAACCAACTGGTCATTTTTGATATTTGCTAGTTGCTGTAGATTCCTGTATAAGTTGGGTTGAAGCTTTTCCATGCATTCCAAGAAGGCGTCAGAAGTTGTCAAAACACTTTAAAATAATTCCTACATTTGGATTGCCGCTAACAATTCAGAGTGACAAGGGAGTGGTGTTTGTGCTTAAAGTCATACTAAGTGTCCAGTGCCTTGGGCATTCACTGGAAATTACATGCTTCCTGGATAAATGAAACAGCTACTTAAAAGAACTCTGGCAAAAATTTTGCCATGAAACCAACTTGGGAAAGTCGGTTTGCTTTGCTGGTTGCCCTGCTTTGGGTAAGAGTGGCCTCTAGAAGTAGGCATGGTTTCAGCCCCCCGAACCATTATATTTATATATGTATATATATAAAATATTCTCTCTCTATATATATTCTATACTCTTTTCATGACTTAGGCATTCCAATGGGGCTCATGTTAGGGAACTGGATACTCTCAGTCTTTGGGAAATACTCTATGTTTGCTTCTGGCAGGTTGATGAACGCCACAGATGTGTCCTTAACACTTGTCTGAATGCTGGAGATGTGGTGTCCCAAAGACCATAAGAGCAGGCACCTGGAGGACCAACTCTGACCTCATGGAACAGGACCTCTTATGAGGTGCTGTTGACCAGCCATTCTCCAGTGAAACGGAAGAGAATTCAGTGGTGGATTCAGCACCACATTGAGCTGGTACCACAAGAATCCTCAGGTCCCTAGCACCCTGTCCAGGAGAACATCAAAAGGAATCCTGCTTGGACTGTCGAGCCACTGAAGGACCTGAAACTCTATTTTCGAGAGCTGGTTCCAAGAAATCAAAGAATCATTCTAAATACATAAAGTTTCCATTTGTCAACCCCGATCTAACCCCATTTCAGCAGGAAGGAACTAGAGTGGTCGTTGTCCCAATTCCCTCATGAGTGAGGAATGATCAAAAGGCAGTGGAGATTGAAACCGGTGACCAACAGGACTAAGAAGTGCAGCTGCAACTTTTTACCCAGGCCTTTTCTGTTGGCCTTAAGTACCCCTCACTCTTCTGCTCCAGGAAGGCGAATTTGAGCCTTGCCTCCTGTCTCCTTGTTGGGCTACCTCTTGAATAAACCCTTTTCTTGCTGCACACTCGATGTCCCCGTGATTAGCTTTGCTGTGTATTGGGCAAATGAACTTGAGTTCAGTTACACTAGGGACATGATTGTCCTGTAGCTTGATGATAGGTGGCCTGCAAAGCCTTCTTTTAAAGCATCGGCTTCACGGAGGTATTATTTATGTCATTAAAATTCACCCATGAAGGAGGGAAGAATAAGGTCAGCCAAGGTCTTCTGACTGGTTACAATAAAATAGGACCATACCTGTATTTACTTTTTAGATACAGCACATATCCACATATATCCATTCATATATATATATATATATATATATATATATATATATATATATACATACACACATATACATATATACACACACATACACTTCCCAGCCCTTCTCCTTTTGCACCTGGATGGGGGTCGTCTGACTAAGCTTTGGGCAATATGGCTGGTCCATAAGACCTCTGGCATAATCCTCCCAACTGCCTACCTCCCACCTGCTGGATAGATGCCAAGGCCCAGCACACCCTTGGAAATCACATGTTGAAGATGGCAGAGCCTTGGTCAGCCCCAGTCTCTTCATGATTGTGTGGAGCAGTGACATCCCCCGCCACCATTCCCATCGCTAACTGAACTTCATATGAATGAGAAGTAATCTTAACATTATGTTCAGCTCTGAGATTTCAGGGTTTATCTGTTAGAGTAGCTAGAATTTCCTTAACACATACAAAAGGTGAAACATCTTGAACAGTATCCAGAATTATAAATTCTTAAATTTTATTTTATTATAAAATCTATAAATTATTAAAAATACGTAATGTCATCTTTACCACCATCATCATCATCACCTTCTTAACTCACCTACTCTGTGCTCAGACAGACAAATATTTATTTGAAGGGGGAGGGGCAGAGGGAGAGAGAACCCTCGAGCAGACTCCCTGCTAAGCAGGGAGTCCAACACATGACTCGATCCCAGGACCCTGAGATCATGACCTGAGCTGAAATCAAGAGCTGGCCGCCTAACTGACTGGGCCACCCAGGTACCCCTCCATTTATATATTTTTAATAGTTTTCTTTCCCTTTTTCCTCACTATCATACGTAGGCTTTGGTTAAATTTACCATTTTGTATGGGAGTCAGAAAACTTTCTGTAAGGAGACACACAAAAGTATAAATATTCTGCCTCCCCCCCCCACACACCAAAATGAGCCACTCAGTAAATATTTTAGAATTTGAGAGCTACTCAGTGTTTCACAAATGAACACCGCTGGGCACTGAGGGTGGGCAGTGCAGCTTATATTTGTATAACTTCCATGTATCATGAAATGTTTTGTTTTTTCAACCACTTGAAAATGTAGGGTTTATTCTTAGCTCATGGGCCATATGAACATAGGCAGTAGGCTGGAGTTAGACACAGGTTTTCGCTGACCTTACTTTAGTCCATAGGCTGGGGAATATGAAGGGCCAACTAAAAGGCCACATGTGCGTGTGTTCTGGCTGCGGACCTGGTCCTGACGCAGTACTGTTTACTGACGCCTGTGCTCCGTAGGAGGGTTTGCTGTGTTGTGCGGCCGACGGGCTTTGACAAATGCATGCTGTCATATATGCACCAGCGCAGTCTCCTACATGATAGTTTCACTGCCCTAAAAATCCCCGTATGCCCCACGGAGTCCCTCCCTCCCTTTTCCCAAACCCCTGGCAACCACTGATCTTTTCATTGTCTCCACAGTTTTGCCTTTTCCAGAATGTCCTAGAGTTGGGATCTCACCGCATGTGGACTTTCAATCAGCTTCTTTGACTTAGTGATAACATTTGAGGCTGCTCCCTGTCCTGTAGTGGCTTGAGAAGTCATTTCTTTTTTTTTTTTTTTAAAGATTTTATTTATTTGAGAGAGAATGAGGCAGAGAGCATGAGGGGGGGGAGGATCAGAGGGAGAAGCAGACTCCCTGCTGAGCAGGGAGTCTGACGCGGGACTCGATCCCGGGACTCCAGGACCATGACCCGAGCCGAAGGCAGTTGCTCAACCAACTGAGCCACCCAGGCGCCCCGAGAGCTCACTTCTTATCACTAACATTCTATTATATGGTTGCACCACAATTTATCTGTTCTTTCACCTATGGAAGGATATCTTGATTGCTTCCAGGTTTTTTGTTTTTGTTTTTGTTTTTAAGTAGGCTCCACACCCAACATGAGGCTTGAACTCACAACCCTGAGATCAAGCGTTGCACACTCTACCGACTGAGCCAGCCAGCCACCCCTGATTGCTTCTAGTTTTGACAGTTATGAACAAAGCTGCTATAAACATTCATGTGCAGGTTTTTCTGGGGACATACGTTTTCAACTCATTTGGGTAAATACCAAGGAGCATGACTGCTGGCTGGTAAGGGTACATTTAGCTTTGTGAGAAACTGCCCGAGTGGCTGTACCATTTTGCATTCCTTCCAGCAATGAGTTCCTGTTGTTCCACACCAGTATTTGGTGTTGTCAGCGTTTTGGATCATGGCCATTCTAATAGGCGTGTAGTGGTATCTCATTACTGTTTTACTTTGCATTCCCCTGGTGACATAAGAGGTGGAGCATCCTTTCATTTGCTTCTTTGCCATCTGTAGGTCTTCTTTGGTGAGGTATCTGTTCAGATCTTTTGCTAATTTTTTAATTGGGTGTTTGCTTTCTTACTGTTTTAAGAGTTGTGTGTTTTGGATACAAGTCCTGGGTCGGATCTGTGTGTATTTTGCAAATATTTAATTCCAGGTTGTCACTTGTCTTTTCACTCTTTCAGCAGTGCCTTTCACAGAGCAGAAGTTTTTAATTTTAATAAAGTCCAGCTTGCCAATTTTTTTCATGGATTGTGCAATTAGTGTCCTATCTAAAAAGTCATTGCCAAGGGGCACCTGGCTGGCTCAGTCAGAAGAGCATGCACCTCTTGATCTTGGGGTGGTGAGTTTGAGCCCCATGTTGGGTATAGAGATTACTTAAATAAGAATAAAACAAAAGTCATTGCCAAATGCAAGGTCACCTAGATTTTCTCCTAGCTTGTAGCAGCTTTGTGTTTTATGTTTAGGTCTGTAATCTATTTTGAGCTAGTTTTTTTTGTGAAAGGTGTAAAGATCTATGTCTAGATTCCATTTTTGTCCATGTAGATGCCCATTTGTTCCAGCACCATCTGTTGAAAAGGCTGTCCTTTCTGTATTGAATTGCCTTTGCTCCTTCGCCAAATATCAGTTGACTCTATTTGTGTGGGTCTGTTTCTAGGCTCTCTATTCTTTTCCATTGATCAATTTTATCTGTTTTTTGTTTGTTTGTTTTTGTTTTGTGTTTTTTAGCCAGTACAACTCTGTAGTGATTACGGAAGCTTATAGTCAGACTTGAAATTAGGTTCAGTCCTCTGTCTTTGTTCTTCTCCCTCAATACTGTGTTGGCCTTTCTTGCTTCCCCCACCACCCACTTCCGCCTTCCATATAATCAGTTTGTTGATATCCACAAAATAACTTGCTGGGATTTTGACTGGGTTTGCACTGAATCTGGCTCACTTGAAAAGAGCTGACATTTTTACAATATTGAGTCTTTCTATCCATGAACATGGAATATCTCTCCATTTATTTAGATCTTTGATTTCTTCCACCAGAGATCTTGTACATATTCTATTTATACATAAGTATTCCATTTTGGGGGTGTGTGTGCTAATGTAAATGGCATTATTTTTTATTTCAAATTGTTCATTGCAATTGACATTTTTTTTTTAAAAAGATGTATTTATTTATTTGAGACGGGGTGGGGAGAGGCAGAGGGGGAGGGAGAGTCCTAAGTAGATTCTGCTGAGGGTGGAGCCCATCACAGGGCTGGATCTCACAACCCCAAGATCAGGGCCTGAGTGAAACCAAGAGTTGGTTGCTTTAAACGACTTTGCCACCTAGGCACCCCTGCAATTTACTTTTTGTTGTTTTTGTTTTTTTTAACTTTTTTTAAAAAAGATTTTATTTATTTATTTGATGGAGACATCGAGAGAGGGAACACAACCAGGGGGAGTGAGAGAGGCAGAAGCGGGCTTCCCGACGAGCAGGTACCCCGATGCGGGGTTCCATCCCAGGACCCCGGGATCATGACCTGAGCCGAAGGCAGACGCTTAATGACTGAGCCACCGAGGTGCCCCTGTTTATTTGATTTTTTAAAAAAAGATTTTGAGAGAGAGAGTGCATGAGCAGGATGAGGGACAGAGGAAGCGGGAGAAGCAGATTCCCTGGTGATCAGGGAGCCTGATGTGGGGCTCAATCCCAGGACCCTGAGATCATGACCTGAGCCAAAGGCAGACACTTAACCAACTAGCCACTTGGGCACCCCTGCAATTGACTTTTGTATATTAATCTTGTACCCTGAAAACAACTTGCTTTAGTAGCAGGAGTTTTTCTGTCAATTCTTTAGGATTTTCTACAAAGATGATCATATCTTTTGTGGAAAAAAAAAGACAGTTTTATTTCTTCCTTCTCATCTGTATCTTTTATTTCCTTTTCTTGTCTTAATGCATTCCTTAGGACTTTCAGTATGATGTTAACTAGGAGTGATGAGAGGGGGTATCCTTGCCTTATTGCTGATCCTAGGGGGAAAGCATCTAGCTTCTCACCATTATGCATGATGTCAACTGGAGGTCTTTTGTAGATTTATCAAGTTGAGGAGGTTCTCTTCTATTCCTAGTTTGCTGTGAGTTTTTTGTCATGAATATTAGATTTCTTAAGTGCTTTTTCTGCACCTATTGGTATGCTCATGTCATTTTTCTTCTGTAGCCTGTCATGTGATGAATTATTTTAATTGAATTTTGAATTAGTCTTGCATACATGGAATAGCTGGTTGTGGTATATCATTCTTCTAATACAACATTGGATTCTATTTGCTACTATTTTGTTGAGGATTTTTGTGTCTATTTTCATGAATATTGGTCTGTAGTTTTCCTTTCTTGTAATGTTTTTGTCTGGTTTTGGTATTGAGATAATGCTGGCCTCATAAAATGAGTTAGGAAGCATTTCCTCAGCATCTATTTTCTAGAAGAGATTAAGAATTGGTATTATTTCTTTCTTAAATGTTTGATAGAATCCCCCAGTGAACCATCTGGGCCTGGTGCTCTCTGCTTTGGAAGGTTATTAATTATTGATTCAATAGATATAGGTCTATTCAGATTATTTCTATGTCAGTTTTGGTAGATTGTGTTTTTCTAGATTATCAGATTTGTGGGGAGAGAGTTCATAATATTCTTTTATTAT